CCCCAGGTAATGGGAGAGACCCCTGGGACAGGTGAGGGACCCTCAGGGTTAATGGGAGAGACCCCCAGGTAATGGGAGAGACCCCAAGGACAGGTGAGGGACCCCCAAAGACAGGTGAGAGACCCTCAGGGTTAATGGGAGAGACCCCCAGGTAACAGGTGAGGGACCCCAAGGACAGGTGAGACCCCCAGGCAATGGCATCCATAATGGGAGGGACCCCAGGGACAGATGAGGGACCCCCAGGTAATAGGTGAGACTCCCAAAGACAGGTGAGAGACCCTCAGGGTTAATGGGAGAGACCCCCAGGTAATGGGAGAGACCCCTGGGACAGGTGAGGGACCCTCAGGATAATGGGATCCATAATGGAAGAGACCCCCAGGTAATGGGAGAGACCCTCAGTAATGAGATCCATAATGGGAGGGACCCCCAGGTAATGGGAGAGACCCCTGGGACAGGTGAGGGACCCCCAGAATAATGACATCTGTAATGGGAAGGACCCCCAGGTAATGGGAGAGACCCCCAGGTAATGGCATCCATAATGGGAGGGACCCTCAGGATAGTGAGATCCATAATGGGAGGGACCCCCAGGTAATGGGAGAGACCCCTGGGACAGGTGAGGGACCCCAGGGACAGGTGAGACCCCCAGGATAATGAGATCCATAATGGGAGAGACCCCAAGGACAGGTGAGAGACCCCCAGGTAATGGGAGAGACCCCTGGGACAGGTGAGAGCCACTGGGACAGGTGAGGGACCCTCAGGCAATGGGAGAGACCCCCAGTAACAGGTGAGGGACCCCAAGGCAGCTGAGAGACCCCCCAGGACAGGTGAGGGACCCCCAGGTAATGGGAGAGACCCCTGGGACAGGTGAGAGACCCCCAAGATAATGAGATCTATAATGGGAGAGACCCCCAGTAACAGGTGAGAGACACCTGGAGTAATGGGAACCACAATGGGGATGGCAGACTCGCAGGTAACGGCATTGACCCCACCCTGCAGGTACAGGTGATGGGCTGTGGAGGCTGTGGGGGACAGGGACACAGGTGAGGGACCCCCAGGTAATGGGAGAGACCCCTGGGACAGGTCAGAGACCCTCAGGGTTAATGGGAGAGACCCTCAGGTAACAGGTGAGACCCCCAGGATAATGAGATCCATAATGGGAGGGACCCCCAGGTAATGGGAGAGACCCCCGGGTAAGGGGTGAGAGACCCCCGGGTAATGGGAACCACAATGGGAATGGGAGACTGGCAGGTAACAGCACTGACCCCGCCACGCAGGTACAGGTGATGGGATGTGGAGGCTGTGGGGACACAGGTGAGAGACCCCCAGGTAATGGGAGAGACCCCTGGGACAGGTGAGGGACCCCCAGGATAATGAGATCCATAATGGGAGGGACCCCCAGTAACAGGTGAGGGACCCCAAGGACAGGTGAGAGACCCCCAGGATAATGAGATCCATAATGGGAGGGACCCCCTGGTAATGGGAGAGACCCTCAGGTAACAGGTGAGGGACCCCAGGGACAGGTGAGAGACCCCCAGGATAATGAGATCCATAATGGGAGGGACCCCCAGTAACAGGTGAGGGACCCTCAGGTAATGGGAGAGATCTCTGGGACAGGTGAGGGACCCTCAGGATAATGGGATCCATAATGGGAGAGACCCCCAGGTAATGTGAGAGACCCTCAGGATAATGGGATCCATAATGGAAGAGACCCCCAGGTAATGGGAGAGACCCCCAGGCAATGGCATCCATAATGGGAGGGACCCCCAGGTAATGGGAGAGACCCCCAGGTAACAGGTGAGGGACCCCAGGGACAGGTGAGACCCCCAAGATAATGAGATCCATAATGGGAGGGATGCCCAGTAACAGGTGAGGGACCCCCAGGTAATGGGAGAGACCCTCAGGTAACAGGTGAGACCCCCAGGATAATGAGATCTATAATGGGAAGGACCCCCAGGTAATGGGAGAGACCCTCAGGTAATGGGAGAGACCCCCGGGACAGGTGAGAGACCCCCAGGATAATGAGATCTATAATGGGAAGGACCCCCAGGTAATGGGAGAGACCCCTGGGACAGGTCAGAGACCCTCAGGGTTAATGGGAGAGACCCCCAGGACAGGTGAGAAATCCCCAGGATAATGAGATCCATAATGGGAAGGACCTCCAGGTAATGGGAGAGACCCTCAGGTAACAGGTGAGGGACCCCAGGGACAGGTGAGAGACCCTCAGGATAATGAGATCCATAATGGGAGGGACTCCCCATGACAGGTGAGAGAGGAGAGAGACCCCCAGGTAATGGGAGAGACCCCTGGGACAGGTGAGGGACCCCCAAGGACAGGTGAGAGACCCTCAGGTAACAGATGAGAGACCCCCAGGATAATGAGATCCATAATGGGAGAGACCCCCAGGTAAAGGGAGAGACCCCCGGGACAGGTGAGAGATCTTAAGGTAACGGACAGGTGAGGGACCCCCAGGATAATGAGATCCATAATGGGAGGGACCCCCTGGTAATGGGAGAGACCCCCAGGTAACAGGTGAGGGACCCCAAGGACAGGTGAGGGACCCTCAGGATAATGAGATCCATAATAGGAGAGACCCCCAGTAACAGGTGAGAGACCCCCAGGTAATGGGAGAGACCCCCAGTAACAGGTGAGGGACCCCCAAAGACAGGTGAGAGACCCTCAGGGTTAATGGGAGAGACCCCCAGGTAACAGGTGAGGGACCCCCAGGTAAAGGGAGAGACCCCCGGTCCCGGTCCCGCTCTCACCTGCCCGAGTGTAGAACCAGTTCTCATCGTAGGGCGCCAGCTCCTTGTGCTTGGCCAACTTCACCGTGTCGGCCCAGTCCGGCACCTTCAGCTTCCCGGACCTGCGCCAGAACCGGGCCAGAACCGGGTCAGAGCCGGTACCGGGACCAGGGAATAGTAATGGGGAACAGGGACCGGGCCAACTTCACCGTGTCGGCCCAGTCCGGCACCTTCAGCTTCCCGGACCTGCGCTAGAACCGGGCCAGAACCGGGTCAGAGCCGGGACCGGGACCAGGGAATAGTAATTGGAACTGGGAATGGCACCGCAATGGGGAACGGAACCGGGATTGGGAACGGAACCGGGCCTGGGAAGCGGTACCAAAAGCGAGAAAAGGGAATTGGGAACGGGAACCGGGAATGGGAACCGGGAATCGCAGCAGAAACCAGAACCGGGAATGAGAATCAGAACCGGAGCCGCGAATTGTGAATAAGCAACAGAACCGGGAAC